ATTGCTGATATTCCGTCTTTACGTGCAGGTTTTTTTTTCCATTTTCTCTACATTTTTTTTTTTTTTTTTTTTTTTTTTTTTTTTTTTTTTTTTTTTTTTTGTGATTTTTAAAAAAATGTTCATGCTCAGGCTTGGTTTGTCCAAAAAAAATTTCGTACGCCGAGTACGAATTGTTCTCAACAAGTACGTGAGCATCGATCGACCGATGTTTCCGCGGTCCGACTTTTTTTGGCCTTCATTGAAACGAGTCTTTACCCTTTTTCTCTACTTACCAACTCACGTAACTGTAGTTTATTGTAAAAGATACTTCATTTCTAAGCTAACACAATACCATGCCATTACTCGAAAATGATTTCTAAACATTCACTCGGAGCCACATATAAGCGCATGCACACATCATCGTATCATAGTACAAGAGCAGAGAGTCTAATTTCGGTCGGCATCGCCCCACCCTCCCCTTCGTTCTTTATCTACAATCTCGTATCTCGCGTCGCCTCTCTCGCGTTTTCTGCGCTCGTGTTCTTTTTTCGATTTGCCATTTATACATTCGACACTCGCCAACCTTGTCCCCCCCCCTTCCCCCCGCTCCTCGCCCAAGTGTGTGCGTCCCTGTCGTCGGCCACTCGTAATCGGACTCTTTCCCGCGCCGAAAAAAAAAACCACGCGCACTTATATATGTGCATCCCCGTGTTTTTCTGCGTAACTTTGGCCTCAAAAAACCAAAACGGCCGAACACGAGAACACGTTTTCTATTGCCTCTTTCTTTCTTGACAACGCTAGTTAAGGACTTTGCTGGACTACCGAAACTGAACTAATATCAATCTTGCTGATATACATATCGTCATTAGTGACTGATTGCCTTCAATTTTTCGCAATCCATGAAACGTACTCTCTTAAAGTTGAATAAATAAAATCTCGAAAAGATCTTTTTTTTTTGACACGCCAATCGCCTTGTTTGAAAATCGGTTTCGTGATTCCGAAAAATCACTATAAATTAGTCCCTGGCGTACTTTATCCGTACGTACGGATGGAGAAACCGGTTTCCTTGCCGTTAAAAATCATTGAGAAACAAAAACTTGACTCTTTTTTTCGGGGAGCGCCTTCTGCATACTTTGCTCGCGACAACGTATATACGCATGCGTTCGCTCGCTACACACTCGACATTCTTCTTCAGTACTTATTACCTGTATCGTGCATTACACGCATGTACAATGATACTGACCAAGGAATCGTCCTAATTATTTATTACTTTGTTGTTTTGTTGATTAACCTCACTATCGCTATTTACACTAAGAAAAGCGAGAAGAAAAGCGTTGTTTAATACAAATTATGATTCTCTCAGAAAATGTACTAATACTATATAGCTGAAACACAATAATACATGTAGGGTTAGAATCGTGTTTGAATGGTAAATTTTACCAGTGTAATTCTTAGCGGGCATCCTGTATCACTTTGTTAGCTCCGATCCCCTCCTATTCACTCCGAGAGTTAACATAGATATGAAGAAATCCACTAAAAATATATCCTGTTTTTGTCCCCCATTTTATTCGCAATGTCATGTACTATGAAGAAAAAAATTTGAACACGGGGTTCAGTGGGGGTTTTTCCGCAATTTGCATCTTAAAATTATGTGTACATATATAAGCCCGGTTTCAAGGATCTTCCTTAAAAAACATTTTTTTAATAAAATGGGGGCAAAAACGGGATATTTTTTGTAGATTTTCTCATATAGATAGGTCACGTAGTACTCCCTTTAAAGTGAGGATGCTTCAGCATTGTAATGTATAGAGATGCGACAGATACTTGATATATATTTTTAACAAAAGCTTCCCTATGTTTTACATGAACTTGTAATCATTAAAGTTTTATGTAATATCTTTGTTTTTATCACCAAAATTATATTTTAATTATAAGAAAGTTAGTTATGCTGAATGATTTTTTTTTTTTTTTACTTCATACGTATTTTATATGTCTGTAGCAAAATCAGTTTTTCCTTTATTCATAATTAATTTATGTCATGAAATGTTCTTTCTCTAGATCTTAAGTGCTGACATTGTAAAGTTAGACCACCAAATCGTATTTCTCATTAAAGCATTTTTTTTATTTTACTACATATAAATTCATCGTATTCCACCTCCGTGTTTAACATCTGTATTACGTCTACCATAAGATAATTCAGAATATGACAATTATGGTTATGTCCACAAAATTTATGTTTCAAATTCGATGAAGCTGAAGCTAGCCGACGGACTTAGCCGACGTACTATATAGAGCGCTCTACAAAGTAATAAAAAATTTTAATAAAAAAAAACTCCCATTCACCTATATTTCGAGTTCTTAAGTACATGATAGTGTTCGTAGTCATGATAATCAAATTCGTAGTCTATTTAGTCTTTTGTGTATTAGTATTATTATACTTAAAAATTAGTTAAAATATTTAATGATTTTCGTTTGAGTTTATAACACTATTCCACGAGTTGTTGAGTGTGTAAATCAATACTCTAAGATTTTTTAATTCACGCTACCGTGTGTACATAAAAAATAACACCAAAAAAAATAAAAATTAATGATACAGATCTCTATTCTTCGACGCAATTTTTTAAAATATATTTTAAGGATGGTGCCCATTAGTTTCGTCAAAAAATTAAAAAAAAATGAACTTCCAACCATTCATCCAGTGGTCGACAATACTTTTCTTCAGCCTGCTTTCACGAATCGATCCTGCCGAAATCCAATTGCACATATGTATATACAATCGGTGCCAATGCTTCACTATGCAATTTCCGTAGGCCGTGTATTTCTCTTTTTTTTCGGAAAATGATTTTGATAACTGCAAATAAGTCCTAAAAATACTAGAATTATTTGATAGTACTAAAAAATTAATAATAGTCATGGAATACCGATTTTTTGAACATTAATTTTTTTACAACCAAATATATACCGTGTTTGCAGATTATTCATCATAATTTTTTGTATTAATTATATCTCACGGTAAAATGAAAATCGGTACATATCGTATTGTACGTCGATCGTTATGATACATTGCCTTAGAAAATTAATTGCTATTAGTTATTTATTGAAACACTTTTCTTGTTGTTTTTTCTACGAAAAATTAAAAAAATTGTTAAATGATAAATAACTTTTTATTTTTAGTTTTCCAACAAAGATAAAAATTTTTAATACTAGAACTCCAACGAAGTGTCACGGAAACTGAAGTTTGCTAAATAAAACGCATCGATTTATCGATTTCAAGCTCTTGTATACTGATGCATGAAAATTGAAATATAAAAAACTGAAGGGTAGATTTTTTTATTTACGTTCACTCACTATTTTGTTCCTTTGACTAAGCATAATTTTTCCTCGTTGAGAAAAAAAATGATACCTTTATCAATAATACTTTTTTACTGTAATGGTAGCGCGTGTTTATTTTTAAAACGTTTGAATCTATGAAATTTTCTCTCGCAAATTAGTTAGTTCCAGTTACATAATTAATAATGCAAAACTCGAGGCAAAATCCAAATATTCTAGATTAACAATGAACTATTTTTTGCGGTGTAGCTTGATACTGTAAGGCTATGGTATATGATTTTTCTCTGAGAAAATTTTTTTTTAAACTTCATGTTTATCTTTTATATACATTGTTTAAAAATGTACAGATGAAATAAATTGATTAGATAATACATTTTTTAGTTTGTATGTAATTAACTTTTTGTTGACAGGAGATTGTAAAAAAATTTATATATTTCTATTTTTTATTTTTACTTTTCGTTTTTATTTATTTATTTATTTAGTTTTTGTAAACTGCATTTTATTTTTGTAAATACTTTATAAAGGTAAAAATAACAAACATTTTGCAACATTTGATGATTTTTTGCTCAAGATGTAGTAACGTTGAGGAAATTGTTTCCATACACTTCCTTATTTCATTTTAAAATTAAAATAAAAAATTTTAAAACATCGTAATCAATAATCTGAGTTAATTATAATAAATTTGTTTGGATAAAACGTGACCAAGTTTCAGAGTGGTAACCTGATCCATTATAATGTTCAGCATCCCTTAGCAATATCGTAATTTTACCCAGTAGGTAGTCACTACCTTCGTGAAATCAAAATAAAACTCTTTCCAACCGTTCAGCTAGTCACGGTATATGTCTGTGTGTTATGAGCAAACCCCTGACTCGCTCCGAGAATGAACCTGGAAGGGATAAAACGATAGGTGCCAGCGCCCATGGTGCCGATTGAGTGAAACACAGGGGGCTACCAGGGCGCCAAATGCACGTAATTTGCAGGCGTCTTTAAATATCTAAGAAAGTAAACATTTTATGATGATACATGAAGCGTAAAACATGCAATAAATTTAATTATTAGTAAATACCTTTTCATCCCATGTAAATCAGTGCTGGCATTCTGGCATTACAGTCGTTACAAGTTCTATAAACTCAAGCATAATCTAAGCGTTGCGTCTGCTTTACCATCTATATAGCAACCCTGAGAGCAAAACACCGAGTAGACGCACCGTTTGGATAAACTATATACTATATATACATCATACTTTCACAGGCTCTTCGTACTTAATATAAAAACGCCTGCTTTAATTTACATGAAATAAAGAGGCACTTATGACTGAATTTTTTATGACTTTTACGCTTCATGTCTTACCGTGAAATGCTTAACTTAAAAGATATTCAAAGATATCTATGAACTACGTGGATTTGATGTCACTGCCCCCCCCCCCGTTTCCAAATTTTGCCATGGGTTAGGGCGCCACATGTCATTGTCGGTTCCAATACACCAAAAGACGTCACAACGATAAAATCCCAAAAAAAAAAAATTAGCCACGCATCAATGTTGCATGCTTTTATTACACCCATTCGTTAAAAAACAGACATATGCACACAAAAAACACGCCCACGCGCGCAAACTCTTGCATACGTAAATATTGTGTACTACACTACCTTGGCGTGAGCGAGCCGTGTGTATGTGCTGATGTAAATTTGCAGTGGCAAGCGCGGCGGAACTGCAGCAGAGGTCGGAGTCACCCGGCTACCCGTCCGTAGGCCACCAGCAGCCGGGCTTGGGCTTGCAGCAGCACCCGAGCCCAGAAAACTGCGGTGCCAAGGACATGAGCGCATCAGCAGCAGCAGCACCGTCGGCAACACTAGTCGGCAACCTAGCCCCCAGATTCGCCCTTAACAAGGCCGCCAGCAGCGGCAAGGGACCCTGGCTCAAGGCCACCCTAGCTCAGGCCCACGAGCCCTACGGTGAGTCCCAACAGGCCCGACATCACCATCTATAACAAAACGTCCTTTTTATTCCCCCTCGAAACTTTTTACTCTGAAATCACCCCTGTAGGCACATATGTAAGAATGTAAACTTAGGTTGCACATGACACTCTACACTGTATGCATTTCTACACTCATACTTACACGTTACACGTATGAATGCATAACATGATACGTTATACAGAAAAGTTCCACTCGTTTTGAGGGACCCGTTTTTTAATGAAAGTACGCGTGATTCTTCCGTTCATTTTTCTTAACTATAATTTTTACGGTAATTTTTTTATAGCAAAAAAATCCATCTCAGTAAGCTTTACTTTTTAGTGTGAAGCTACGGTAATTTTTCCCTTGTTTGAGGAAAAACATGACGGCAGACGTCGATAATGAGACGGTAACAGAGATAACATTATTTATCAATTGAGGTTATGAATAAAATAAGTATCTATATTATCGACTTGTTTTAGACGTCTGATATGATGTTTTTTCTTTATCAGGAAAAATATTACCATAGATTTCCGGTAAAATATATAGCTGATTAAGATCAATTTTTCTGTTGACCAACAATTACTGTTAAGCTAAGATAAAAATTATAGTTAAAATTCGTTGCTCTTAAGTATATCGTTGCTTTTACAGTAAAAATTCATGTAACTTTTTCCTCTGTGTACGTGTACGTACATCCAACGGAAAGTAATTGTTTCTAGACAAGAAACAACTATCACACTAACAACTAATAAATAAAGTTAAAACTATTTTACATGTTTATTTTTGTGAAACAATTTTAAATTAAAAATTAAAATTTCATGGTTTGCGAATTAAGCCACGGTCAGGGTTTACCAGTGTACCAGTGTACCAGTGTACTGGAGCCAAAAGTTAGATATAAAATGATAAATTCATCTATCCATACAGATAAACTTTAGACAAAAAAAAGTATTTTCCAATGACGTTTGTATTTTATTATCATCATCATATATATTTTGTATTTTATTATCATCATAATATATTTGGATGTAGTGTAGCCAACTCGGTATACAAAGAAAAAATAACTTGTTTGGATAGTAATCTTGCTAATGCATGAATGATGTGAAAATTTTTTTTTGTTCCGTACTAATGATACGTCCTTGCAGTAAATAAAACATAATACTTTAGATTTTTGATAATTTTTTTTTTTTTTAATTTGAAAATGATCTAAAACAACCAAAAATTATTACAAGATGATAGTTAAATTAAACCAAGGCACATTTACCAAAAACTAATATCATATATTTTGTTATGACAATTTCTTGCCTGTCATTAATAAATACACCAGTCGTGCTCTATATTATAAAATCTAATATTGTTTGCACTTTGTCACCTTCACAGCTTTGAGTAAAAATAGGAACGTTATGGTCTCTTAGAAAATCGATGTTCTGATGTATACTAAGTGAAAATTAAACTTCGCCCTTGCGCTCATAACATGTACGTATATACCAATTACATTTTTACCCTCCACCATCCAAGTCGATAATTCAACACTTCACGAAGATATACTACCTACTTGACAAAAATCGTTATTTTGGGGAAACTGACTTTACGAATTAGTATGCTTGTGGTACTAGCTGATGTTGATAAAAAAATTGAAAAAAATTTCTGCAATAAAATAAACCTTAGAATAATAAAAACGTTCGAATTTCAGAACCCACATACATTTTCATGCATTTTCGAGAGCATTTTTGTGAAAAATTTCAATTTGAACAATCTTGGGGCCACCACTGCAACATCATCCAAAAGCTGGAAAAATTTTTTTTTAGTTTTCTTGAATGTCTGGAAGCAATACTAATTATTTAAGACTTTCAGATCACATATGTTGCGAAAAAAATTGAAAATCCGTACTTACTTTTGTTTCCAAATGTCTTCAAAAGTGAAAACTTCTAAATGAGACACGAGCACACTCCGCCAATTTAACCACTTTTTTTTTTTTTTTTTTTTTTTTTAACAAAGGCAATCTTGTTTTTATAATCTAATTACTGTTGCAAACTTTAGCAGAAAATAATTTTTAATACATTTTAAAAAAGGTTTTAAAACCAAATCCTTATAAATAACGTTTTAATCGATTGGGACATAAAAAAAACTGTTTTCTGGTGAAATGGCTTGTTTAAACTCGTATAAACTGACAACTTGACCAAAAAAAAGCGCTAACTCAAACATGCTTTCTTTGACCAAAGCATCAACGTATTCTCCTTGCCAAGAACTAACAGTTCATTATCGGGCAGCCAAATTTAGTTGAACATTCTTTTTACTCTCAAAAACAATACATTCAAAAGATCATAAAATGACTTTTGCATGATCTGGTGCGTACACACTATGCAGTATGTATATGGTGGCACTGGTTATTAACGTATTATTCATAATACTACAAATAATTGATTCAGTTCATTGATATCCCAAAGCCCCAACAATCAATTAGCTTCCAACTTCCAACAATAGACATCACAAAATCTGTTGATAATTTTATGCCAATCAAATATTCAGTACTGTCAATTAAAATGTTGATAAGCAAGCACGCACGCTTATCGGTAATTAACAACATATATGAGCTGTAAAAAGAAATTTACCGCATGTTTCAACGATAAATATTGACAACATGAAATAATTTATGACGGATAATAAAAATCGTTTACTACAAATCACTAAACGTTTCAACGCTATTATGCACAACAGTGTCCGTGAAAGTGATGCAAAATAAAAGTAGCCAATGATGATAAGCGGCGACTGAGCAGCAACCAGCCGCGGGAGTAGCCTCAATTAAAACGAGCCCCCTTCAAAAATTCTTTGTAATCTTGGCGGATGTCGCGAGACCAAGGCACTTCGCTGTAAGGCCAAAGAGACAAGAAATCGCTCGGTTCGCGTCGCGCGGGAGACACCGGAGGAAGAGAAGGCGGAGAAAGGGAGCGAAAGGGTTTTCGGCGAGGAGGGGGAACCCGGCAAATGAGGGGTGGGGTGCCACTCCGGCCTGGAAGCTTAACGGCCGAGGGGCTCGAGGAGCCCCTCTCGCACGCGCCGATTTCTCCTCCTCGGCTCTTTGCGTTCTCCCCCTCTCCTCCCACTCCAGCCTCCCTTGTTCTCTCGATCGCGGCTGAAGGAGCGAGCGTACATTTTTTTTCTCCCTTCTCGCCCTTTCTTTGTCTCTCCTCCCTTCTGGCTCGTGTGGGCTGTGATGCTCGAGTTCTTCACTTTTCTCTCTCTCTCGAGGCCTCTCAAGGCCTGCTCTTCGGAAGGAAGCGCCGAATAATCGGACGCGGGTCTCGCGGTTCGGCGAGGGGCTGCGAAATAGAGGCCCCTGCGGCTGCGGGTCTCGCACCGATCTCGGTTGGGGCATCCGTGGCGGAAAACTGGTTTTTCGCCGCTGCTGGTCTGGCTTCCGCGAAGACGGCCCAAGAGACACGGGAGAACGCGAGTGAGGTGCTCGATCAGCCGGCTCTTTCACGCGTCTGTCCCCCTGTTTTCCTCTCTCTCTTTTTTATACGTCCTCTGAGGACTCCTGCGAGCTGTGATGATACTTTAGTAATCTGAGGCTCCCGCAACACTAAAAATAAACACTGTTTATATAGTGCACTACTTTTAATGACTTTTTTTTACGTGTATCTTTCTTTTTTTATGTTCATTTGCGCTTACAATGACAATAGCCCTTTTTTATCATAAATACGCGTTTTCAAATTGTTACTTTGGCATAAAAAATGTATCAACAGTATTTCAGTGAATTGCATTTATATTTGCATTAGCAGACGATGCTCGGTTCTGTCCCGTACACTTAGCAAAAGACCTGCTTGCGACTTTTTTTACGTTTGCACAGATATTTCTTCCAAATTCCTGATAAGGTACACATTTTTTAATACGAGAGTCTTACTTAAAAGTTTAGCTATCCGAACAGAAATCTATTGAGGATACCTCCTTAGTTCGTGAGGACCTCTATAGGTATCCTACAGCGGACCTACTGAGGCAAAGTAACGCGGCGTACAGTTGGTCCTCTTTAGGTATCCTAAATAACCGTGTACATAATCAAACTTAAAGCATTTTTCCAGTCAATAAATAAATGTGTGAATTTAATAAAAGCGAGGGACAGAAATAGAGTTAATTTGTCAGAGTAAAAGAGCTGCTAGATTCAGTAAACAAATTATGATGACAATCGTTTAATAAATGAAAAACAATCGAACCTATATATATATATATGTAAATTATTGATTAAATGAGATATTTTGAATCTTAAAAGTACTTAAACTGCTTATACTTTTAATACTTAATGTAGTTATTTAACATTTAAGAATATATTATGTATTGAAAGTATAAGCAATGTCAGTACGTTTGAGATGCAATATCTCAAAACTATACACAATAGGCTTAAGTATAATGCCAAAAGCTTACATTTTTTATCACTCTGCACATTTCCGTTAAATAATGATTATAATTGCGGCGTTAAAGTAGTCGTAATTTCTTTAATTATTGTACAGCACGTAAAAGTCATTAAAAAAAGTATACATTATTTGCACCAATTTATTTTTTATTCTATAATAAAACACCTGTAGGTATAATAGTGTATTTCATTATTATTCTATCTCACTCTTTCACACTGAATTTATACATATATTTTAACTCTAGAGACTCTTCAAGTTTGGTTAGATACACAGTTCTTTAGGATACCTAAAGAGGAACAACTGTACGCCGCGTTACTTTGCCTCAGTAGGTCCTCCATAGGCTATTTAGGTATCCTCTAGAGGGCCTCTTGTTCGCCTCAATAAGATTTCTGTTCAAGTATCCATTTAAACTTTTTTCTTACCATGAATAAATCTCTAGCCTCGAAATTTGTGCAACAAAGGCTGAATAATTGCTCTCGCCCATAAGAGCAATGTTAAATCATGCAATTTTGGGAATTTTTTTCTTGAAAATTCGGCTGATAAAAAATATTGAAAAAATTCATATGTACTTCCNTACCATGAATAAATCTCTAG